TTTTTAATCAAGATTTATCTTAATAGATCCCACATACTTTTCTATAATACTCTCACACCCTGCACTTTCAAAATACACTCCACATTATTTACATACACCTGACACTTCACATCTTAAGTGCAAATACATATTTTGTGTGACATCCCACATCGCCCAGGGGACTGATCCTTATATGTATATTCCATCTCTACCTAGCACGAGGCCTTTTGGGAGCTCACTGGCTTCGGGTTCCATAGGAACTCCGAAGTTAAGCGAGTAGTGCGCAAGAGCAATCCCATGATGGGTGACCTACTGGGAAGTTGCTTGTGGGTTCCCAAAAACAAAACCGTGAGGGAATGGTAAGCCCAAAGCGAACAATATCGTGCTACGGTAGTGGAAGCGGGCCCGGGAAGTGATCCGCTCCGGGTCGGGATGTGACATTGGTATCAGAGCCTAACCCTGGTCGCGAGTGTGCCGATGAGGACGTCGGGCCCCTAAAGGGGGTGGATTGTGACATCCTACATCGCCCAGGGGACTGGTCCTTATATGTATATTCCCATCCTTACTTAGCACGAGGCCTTTTGGGAGCTCACTGGCTTCGGGTTCTGTAGGAACTCCGAAGTTAAGCGAGAATGGGGCTAGAGCAATCCCAGGATGGGTGACCCATCAGGAAGTTCTCGTGTGAGTTCCCAAAAACAAAACCGTGAGGGCGTGGTCGGGGCCCAAAGCGGACAATATCGTGCTACGGTGGTGGAGCGGGCCCGGGAAGTGGTGCCACCCGGGCCGGGATGTGACATTGGTATCAGAGCCTAACCCTGGTCGCGTGTGTGCCGACGAGGACGTCGGGCCCCTAAGGGGGGTGGATTGTGACATCCCACATCGCCCAGGGGACTAATCCTTATATGTATATTCCATCTCTACCTAGCACGAGGCCTTTTGGGAGCTCACTGGCTTTGGGTTCCGTAGGAACTCCAAAGTTAAGCGAGTAGAGGGCTAGAGCAATCCCATGATGGGTGACCTACTGGGAAGTTCTCGTGTGAATTCTCAGAAACAAAACCGTGAGGGCGTGGTCGGGGCCCAAAGCGGACAATATCGTGCTACGGTGGTGAAGCGGGCCCGGGAAGTGGTGCCACCCGGGCCGGGATGTGACATTGGTATCAGAGCCTAACCCTGGTCGCGTGTGTGCCGACGAGGACGTCGGGCCCCTAAGGGGGGTGGATTGTGACATCCCACATCGCCCAGGGGACTGATCCTTATATGTATATTCCATCTCTACCTAGCACGAGGCCTTTTGGGAGCTCACTGGCTTTAGGTTCCGTAAGAACTCCAAAGTTAAGCGAGTAGAGGGCTAGAGCAATCCCATGATGGGTGACCCACTGGGAAGTTGCTCGTGGGTTCCCAAAAACAAAACTGTGAGGGAATGGTAAGCCCAAAGCGGACAATATCGTGCTACGGTAGTGGAAACGGGCCCGGGAAGTGATCCGCCCCGGGTCGGGATGTGACATTGGTATCAGAGCCTAACCCTGGTCGCGAGTGTGCCGACGAGGACGTCGGGCCCCTAAGGGGGGTGGATTGTGACATCCCACATCGCCCAGGGGACTGATCCTTATATGTATATTCCCATCCTTACTTAGCACGAGGCCTTTTGGGAGCTCACTGGCTTCGGGTTCTGTAGAAACTCCAAAGTTAAGCGAGAAGAGGGCTAGAGCAATCCCAGGATGGGTGACCCATCGGGAAGTTCTTGTGTGAGTTCCCAAAAACAAAACCGTGAGGGCGTGGTCGGGGCCCAAAGCAGACAATACGTGCTACGGTGGTGGAGCGGGCTCGGGAAGTGGTCCCACCCGGGCCGGGATGTGACAATTTGGTATCAGAGCTTATCCCTGGCCGGAAATGTGCCGACGAGGACGTCGGGCCCCTAAGGGGGGTGGATTGTGACATCCTACATCGCCCAGGGGACTGATCCTTATATGTATATTCCATCTCTACCTAGCACGAGGCCTTTTGGGAGCTCACTGGCTTCGGGTTCCATAGGAACTCCGAAGTTAAGCGAGTAGTGCGCAAGAGCAATCCCATGATGGGTGACCCACTGGGAAGTTGCTCGTGGGTTCCCAAAAACAAAACCGTGAGGGAATGGTAAGTCCAAAGCGGACAATATCGTGCTACGGTAGTGGAAGCGGGCCTGGGAAGTGATCCGCCCCGGGTCGGGATGTGACATTTTGTGTTTTTATTTTTATATTATACTTTTGTGTAATCACGAAACAATAAAATTGGGTTGACGAAGAATGTGGGGGTGTGAGTAGAAAATTGGATAGATTGCCTCCATGAATCATGGGTAGAAAATTGAGACACTCTTGATGAGTTTTTCTTCTTCTTTTTTTGGAGTTATACAACGTGCACAACTTATCTGGTGATTATATTCGTGACAGCAGAGGTGTCCAATTTCTTCTTGTGATTATATTCTTAGCAGCATAAATGTCCAGGTTTTCTTTGCTTGAATCTAGAACAAGAGACTTGGAAATTTGAATATTGGTGGCAGTTGGATGACTGAATTTGGCATGCAGCGCTGTCACCAATTATATTTCAACTTCTTCATCTTAATACGCGGCTCGGAGAGCTACGTACTGTATACAAATAAAACCAATTTCAATATGATGATGAAAGCTTTGATGGGGCCACTGCAAACTTGGTATTCTTTGCTCATCTAAAAGATACAAGACGGAGGTGGATGTCCAACTGAAAAAAAAAATAAAAAAATAAAAAAATGAGAAACATTTGATCTAACCATCTCTTTAAATAATTTTGGAATATACATATTAAAAGTGATTTGACAATTTTTTTTTTTAAATCTTATGATGTTGAAATTGTCATTGCATTTTAGGATATGTAAATTATATAATACTAAATTTTAATAGTGTGTATTTAATATTATGTGGGGTGCTAATAAAAAAGGGTAATGCTAGGTAGACTAAATTTTTATACCGAATTTGCAAATCAAATTATATGTCATCTATAGAAAATAAGCACGTTAATCAATACTTAACTATTAATCCAATCATCAACAATCACATCATTTGGTTTACAAAATTAGATCTAAAAATTGAGTCTCTCTGGTATTGTCCAATAAAAAAGCCTTTCTTTTAGTACAATGATATTTTTACACTAAGAGGAAGGGAAGTTCGGCTAAGCCACACAATGGGCAGCCTAATTTGGTATCGAATTCATCATCCATGAGATTCAAATATAAAACCTCTCATATTTAAGTGAAGATGAATATCACTAGACTGTAATACTGAGTGACTTAAAAAACCTTATTTAAATTGTAGATTAGTGGGAAGTTATTTAACAAAAAAAAAATACACGTGGTATTCTAATGTGCCACGTAGAATGAGCCGCATAAAGGATCTGACCCAAATATTGTCGGAATAGAGATAAGTCATTTCAAAGTATATTATAGGAGTGTAGTCATATTAGGATTTGATAGGAGTGTAGTCATATTAGGATTTGATAGGATTTTAATAGATTTTAAAATTTGGATGTAGTTGATTAGAGTTTAAAAAGAGGATTTTAAAAGATTATGAAATCATGGTGTAGTCAAATTAAATTTAAGAGGATTTTGAAAAATACACTCAAATCAAGGGGTAGTCGATTAAGAGTTTAAAGAATACTTTCAAATCTATGCATAGTGAGAATGTCAAAGATTTATTACGATTTTAAAGGCTGAAGGATTTTGAGGGATTTGAGAGTGAGTAGTATAAATACAAAGTGTCATGAAGAATCCAACTCTACCCCCATGTGATGTCTTTTCACGTTCATCACAGAAATGGAACAGTCTTTAGTAAGAGTAAACTCTCCTCTATTAATTCTTGAACTTAGAGAGATAGACGATTCTTGAACTTAGAGAGATAGACGATTGCCATGCGCTGACAAGTATTCGCAGGATTATCGTTCCTAACTAGGAGAAAATAAATAGAACCTGCAGGAAAACGAAGAAATACAAACACATCAAGTTGAAGGACCAACAATCTTTTCATATCTTTTTTCCTATTTGTTTTAATCAGTCCAAAAACGATAGTTAATTCTAAGGAGATGACATTTATATAAAGAAAGAAGTGAAGAAGACAAAAGTACAGCGAAAACAATCATTGTTAAAGAAATTTGACAACAAGAAAATAAAAAAGTAAAGAAAGAAATATCAAAGCATTTTTAAGGAGTTAGTAAAGTTTTCTTTAAAACTCTGGTTTGATAACTTATTTGACAATTCTATATTATTTTAAAATTTTGTTTATCCAACTCACTTTTCAATCAACTCTTTAAATTTTGTATTTTTTTTTAATTTTTAAATATTAATATCTTAACTTTATATCATATCTGGTGGTGCCAAATTTTAGTTTTAAACTCTTCACTAAAGAATACTTTTGAAGAAAACTACACCGAGAAACTCAATTTGCTAAATTGAAGAAATAGCAACTAACCTCATAAATATACAAGGTAAGTTACTAATTCTTAATTTGCTAATTAGGTTACTAACTCTGCCTTAAATGCATTTTTCATAGGTGGTATAGCAAATATACCTTAACTATTAAAATGTTATCTCCCTTGGAGATGGTCTAATTGTCAAGCTTTACTTATGTAGTACCACTCACTTAAGCTGAGTCGATCGAGCTTTACTGATTTATTCATGTTTTACAATTTAAATATTATAATTTTTCGTGGTTTGAGAAAATTAAGAGAGTTGACGTTAGGGTTTTAACTTTTTGGATTGTCAATATGCTGGTGAATTATATGAGCACACACAAAGCATAAATACACACGTGCAAGTATTATTTTTAGGCAAATCCGCCATAAAAATCAAGTTCTTGGTTGATATAGAGGCTGGGACAATGACAACATAGCATCATGGGTTTGTTCACTTTTCAATCTTTCCGGATTATAAATAAGGAATCAATTAGTCGAGACTTACATAAATAAAAGTCGTTCAGTTTGGAACCTTGGCCGGCAGCAAAGATATTCTGCTATCTTGTATGTATATCATGGCAAAGAAAGCAAAGCTTTGTGGTTCATTATTTGCCTTTTTGTTTCTATTTTCTTTGGGGTACATAGCCCATGCCGATGATCCAGTGACAATTTTCATATTAGGAGACTCAACTGTGGATGTCGGCACGAACAATTGGTTACCAGAAAGTTACTGCAGGGCTGATTTCTCTCCCAATGGGGTTGATTTGCCTTATTCTGTACCTACTGGGAGGTTCAGCAACGGCCTTAACAGCGCTGACCAAATCGGTACAGGAATCGCCATTATTTATTATGTCGTTTATATATGATTTGAGCCATTCCTTTAGAAACTGCATTTCTCTAGTCATAGTTTGATATGTGCGACGAGAGAAAAATACCACTCTATATAGTAAGGAGCTGAGCAGTCTCCTTGTTTATACACCATGCATGCACGCACCGGCTTAATTAGGATCTTTAGTTTATTGTCGTATTAAGTTGCTGGTTTTATTGATTTTTTGTAGCGAGACTATTTGGCTACCAGAGAAGTCCGCCACCTTTCTTGTATATGGTCAATCATCCAGCCACTTTTAAAAGGGATATACTGCGGGGGGTGAACTTTGCTTCAGCTGGAGCCGGCATATTCTACGAAACTGGCCAAAAACGATTTGTAAGCACGCAACACAAAAATTTAACTGGAAATGTTCACTTGCTATATTGTTTAGTATTAGAACGTGAATCGATTTACATGCAGAAAAAAATGTAAACATGAACAAAATAACAAGTCTGACAAGAGAACACTAAATCATATTTAATAAAATTATAATGCTATTTAAACACACAAAATTAAACTATTATGCGCAAGCTTTCTAATAGAGCTGCAGTCATACCATTGTATATGAACCTGCTTGTACTAGAAAATATGTCACTCATGAGGTTAATTAGTTTTGACTTTTGAGTCTCTATAAATCCTAAGAAACAGATAATTATCTACTGTTATATATTGCTTTGCTGGAAACATTAACTTTGAAATCAAAATTTTTATTATGATTTTTTATTTATTTTCTGTGCTGTGTAATTAACTATATTGTAGATCAAGGTTGTGCCACTGAGCGACCAGATTCAACAATTTGCGACGGTCAAAGGGAATTTGACAGAGATGATAGGTCCCGTTGCAACTGCTAATGTGCTTGCTAAGTCTTTGTTCATCGTTAGTATTGGAAGCAACGACCTTTTTGAGCATGTTCCTCCAAATTCCTCCACCTTAGTTGATCATAACGACGACTTATACATCACAAGTCTTCAGTTCACGTACCATGGTCATTTAGAGGTGTGCAAAGATACACAAAATTAATTTTCAACATAGGTGGATCTCACATATATATGTTAACCAGTCAGAAAACTATCACGCGGCATTGTCACCATTCCACGTATTATTGTTAAGTTTTGAAAAGTGTTATTATTTGAACTCTATTTACTGATCATATTTTCCTGATTACGTTAGTAATACATATCCACCTTTACTAGGAATGTGCTCAAGGTGATTAGCATATGTAGTACCAAAAACATTATTCAAAATTTGATCCTCTTATCATTCCCTTGGATTTATCTTTTTGTTTCCAATCCATTTTTAATATCTGTATAATGCAGAATTTATACATGCTAGGAGCTCGGAAATTTGGGATTATAAGTATTCCTCCAATTGGATGCTGTCCTAATTTACGTGCTTCATCAAAGAAGTCGGGTGATTGTAGAGAAGATCTAAACAAGCTCGCTCAATCCTTTTTCATTTCACTTAAGGATCTTCTGCGAAACATGAGTTCAAAATTGGAAGGGATGAAATACTCACTTGGGAATGCTTATGTAATGACCATGAGTATCCTTGAAGACCCATTAGCCTTCGGTAAGCATTTCATATAGAAAACATGGTGATTTAATTGAACCTTGAGTTTGTTCTTTATACAAGCTGTAAAAAAATCTAACAACTGAAGGACCCTATGAGTGCACTACCTTGTTCATCCATCCGTGTACTGCCTTGTCCATTCATTCATTTTGCGACTAACATACGTTCACATTACAAATTTTGTAATAACATGTTTATTTTCTTAATCATCTTTTAAAGGTTATATGTGCAAATTGATTAAACTAGAGATTGTGTCGTCATAACTATCGTCATGAGGATGTTAATTGTACTAATAAGTGATCTACTTAAATGGGGTACTATTACTTGAGTTATAATTAAAACCAACAAAAATTATGAAAAATATATATATAAAAACAAAATTTAGAGCAAAGCTGGTAGAACCAAACTAAAAACATAAAAGTAATTTCTCTTATGCGTATGGAGGTTATATTTCTTTTATTCACATACATAACCTAGATTTTTTTTCAAAGATGAAGTATTTTTGCTACAAACCAAGTTGGTACATATGTGGATGATATCATATTTATTGCCCTTTAGGATTGGGGGTTTTGTGCAAGGGCACCTATTGCACCATCCCAAAACCGCCACTATGTTAACTTATATATTCACATACTCTATGTAATATGAGTAGACCATAAACATAATATTTTATGAAAGTAATAATATTAAAAAAATAGATACACGTACTATAAATAATAATAACAATGTCTTTGATAACACACCACATGGCAATACTACCGTCGCACTAAAATGTTTATCATAAAATCACTAGGGTTGTTATGATTGGATTTACCTTTCAAGTCTTAAAAAATGAATATACAATCTTTCAACTTGATAGGCTTCAAGGACGTCCAATCAGCCTGCTGTGGATCAGGAAAGTTCAATGGAGAATTGCCATGCTTTTTTCTCATTGGCCCCAACCTTTGTGCGAATCGGCGCGAGTACTTGTTCTGGGACAGTTATCATCCCACTGAATATGCTTCGGAATTGGCAGCACTTACCCTCTATGGTGGAGGAACAAGATTTGTCACACCCATGAATTTCAGTCGGTTGGTGGCTACTCATGTTAACATCACTTCCTAATGATTAGATCCAAACAAAAATAAAGAAGAAATGAATCTTCTCTTTTATTTTTATGTAAAAATAAGTTAAATTTGTGAGGGTTTGTTGTTTTGATCCATTTTTAAATTGAAATAATTAGCAATAATTGCGATCGATATCTTCAACAAGCATCACAGAAGTTCTTTTTTTTCCAATATAATAAAGAGTATTTGCTTTTAATATAAGATAATACTTGCACTCATGAATTTCAATTGAAGATCATTTAGTCATTCAAATGTATAGAACAAATCGACGGTGTAGGTACTAAGCAATATATTTATGGTGAACCGTCCATTTATTTGATGTGTTTTGATGATTAAACAATCTCGAATTTGAATGGTTTTTTGCATGAGTGATTTTCAATTGAAGATTAATAAATTAAATAATTCCAATCATTAATTTCATTAATTTCATTCGGTCAATATATGATATTAGCAAATAGGGGACACATGTGTATCTTCTATAAATTAAAAGATTCTGATCAATGATTACATTCGGTCAATGTATAGTATTTGCAAAGGGGATTTGTGCTTTCCTATAAATTAAACAAGTCTGACCATTGATTTTATTCGGTTAATAAACGGTATTCGCAAATAGGATAATACATGCATCCCCACATAAGGAATGCAAGTATTATACTTCTGTGGAGAGGATGAGTTCATGCAAGTATTATACATCCTTAGGGAGTATGAGTTCATTCTCCTTTGCGAATAACATATATTGACCATACAAATTTTATAATCAGAATTGTTTAATTTTTTAATCTTTATTTGAATATCACCTTTACAAAAAATAATTTTAGAGATCATTTAAAAAAATTAATTAAGTAAGTAATTAAAAAAAAAAAAAGTTTCTTTGGGAACGAGTAGGTGCACCACCAATACCATCAAGTGTTTGCCTAACAAGGAGTTTTCTAATGAATTTTGCACCACCACGGAAAGGGTGCCACATTGGCACTTTCAGCTTGGTCCCACGACCATCTCACCTTCTGCAATACCTAGATAGGGTCCCACTCATGACCGTGCCCCATTTGGAATTGAATTCCATCCTGATCTACTTTGTGAGGATTTTAAGGATTCCTACATCTTAATCATTTATCGTGTATCATGCGCTCAAAAATCATTTGACTTTTTTATTTAAAATTAAACACAAATAATATTTGGCCAAAACTGACTACATGATATACGATGAACAGTTCGAATGTGAAAATTCCTAAGATCCCCACAAAGTGAATCAAGAAAAGATCCTCTTCCGATCCATTCTAACCGGCACCTGCTTTACAATAACAAGCAACATATCATCAAATTTGGAAAGGGATCCTCTCCGGATCCCTTTCCATCAAATCCAACTAATCTGGGATCCGAGGATTTAGATTTTGATGTCTAGGATTCGGGCCGTTAGATTTTGATCCAACGGCTACAGTTACTATAACTTTTAAAGGGGCTCCCTGTTTGTAATCGTTGGATCAAAATTCAATGCCTGGATCCCAGACTAGGTGGATTTGGTGGAAAGAAATCTGAAGAAGATCCTTTTCCATCAAATTTAGCACACCTGCTACGCCATCGAACTCATCAAATTTAAAAATAAATAAAACAAAACATTATGATAATAAATTACTCATACCAAAACCAGAAGCACCATCACCTGCAACTGCAAGAGAGAGATTTCAAACACCCTTGGCAAACTTAAATGGATACTTACTAGCCACTAGTACTACGGTTTAGTGACATTCTTTTTTATTTGTAAATAAAAGGTCTTATGTTCGATACCCAACTAAAAGAAAATTTGAACTATATTATTACTAGCACATTGTAAGGCTTAATCTACTCTGCCACTCCCTTAGAATAAATAATATCATTTTTTTTATTAAAAAAAAAACAATTGGATACGTATTAGTAACTTGTATTCATTTTTTAATTTGTCCATTAATATTTTAACATCTGTTTTCTTATTTTAAAAAATAATGAATATGTTATTAATTTTATTGTGTATACATGTGAAGAAACAATAAATCCTTCTTCACATGCAACTCTTTTACATATGATGCGGTAGCATATTTTCGTCATTACACTAAAGCAAAACGAGTGACCCACAATTAAGTTTCTACGGCAGGTAACAAAAATTGAGTTTATTTTCAATTCTGGAATTCAGTATATTTCATAAATTTGATCTTATGTAATAAGGAATCAACTATTTAAAGGAGTGAAAATAAAACAACAATAATATAGTAAAAATTAAATAAATCTGACAAACTCACCCAATCATTGTTAAATAGCTTGATTAGAGAATAAACTGGATATGGACTCAGTTATTATCCGACCTGTCGTATCAGACAATCTGAGATTTATCTTATTTGTTGACAAACTGAAATCCCCACCCAATAAGAATTCGACAAATAAAAGGGCGCGAATTAGTGGGGAGGGACCACACCATGATAAACAACCATTTTTCCATAGATTCTCCTCTCTCCTAAGTCAATCAAGATGGAGACGACGAAGGAGTGGTCCGATCTTCCAAAGGAGCTATGGCCGGCAATCGGAAATCGCCTCGACAACCGCCTCGACGTTCTCCGATTTCGCAGCGTCTGCAAGACATGGCGCTCCTCCGTCTCCCCTTTTCAGCAACCCGTTACCCCTCCTCTGCCCCTCAGCTTCTCTTCCCCTCCCGCCGCCGAGGATGGCGGAGCTCTGCAGACTCAACCCAAAGCCCTACTCTTTCAAATCAAAGTCTATCGGATGGAATCGCTCGTCGGCGAAAAGCCCAATTCGTCAAAACCGTGGGTGGTGAAGTTTGAGGAGTCGAGTTCCGGGGACCTGCGATTGCTGCATCCAATCAGTAATAAGCCACTCAGGTTTTTCCCTGCATCTAACTCTTTAAAGGAATTCAATTTGTTGGACTTTAAGATGGTCGAATTGCGAAAATCGTATAGTCTGCAGTTTAGAAATAGTCTCAATGTTGTTACGGCTTGTGTGAACAAAGTGGTAGTCATGGATGCAAAAAAGTTGAATGATTGTGGTATTTTTATAATTTGCAATGGCGGAAAGTTGGGTTTCTTGAGATTCGGGGATGAGAAATGGACCCATGTGGATGAACAAAACTCACACTACGATGATCTTATTGTGTATAAGGGTCAATGCTATGTTGTCGATAGATGGGGAACAATTTCATGGGTCAATTCTGATTTGAATGTGATCCAATTTTCGCCTCCGTTATGTGGGTTTGGCGGGCGGAAGCATTTGGTTGAGTCTTGTGGCGATCTCTTCGTTGTTGATCGGTACCTTGACAAGTGTGAAATGGAAAGGTTCCCAGAGCACAATGTTGAGAATGAAAATGTTAGTGTTTTTGGCCCTAATTTTCAAGCTCCTCCTCATCGTTTCGCCGCTTCTGTTGACGGCGAGGCTGTTGATTTTAAAGTTTATAGGCTGGATCAAGAATGGGGTAGGTGGGTTGATGTGAAGAACTTGGGAGATCAAGTGTTTATTTTGAGCAATGATGGGTCTTTCGCCTTCTCCACCAAAGACTTTGGTAGAGTGAAGGGAAATTGCATTTTATTCACTGATCAAAAGCTTCCTCATTTACACGGAATTGGGGGATCAAAAAGGTGTAACACTCGCGTGTTCATGCTAGAGAGTGGCATCATTCGGGACGGACATGCTTTGTCCTGCTTTAACAAAATGCTCCATCCACCATCCAGTTGGCTCCGCCCTGTTCTTGATTTCCGTCGGCATCGGCTTGCAGACTGATTAATGTAAGTGTGATATGCTTCATTCTTCTCAAAATGTGAAAGGTTTACTGTTTACATGCCTACAAAATTTTTGTTTTTGCCACTCGGCGAAACAAAAAGTGCTTTGTATTTTCAACTGAATTTCATCTTCAGAATGTGATAGCAGATAAGCAATTTTCGGAATCATTAACAAGGCTAGTTCATGCAGTCTTTTTCCTAAAGAACATTATCATTCACCTCAAAGGATTGTAGGTTTCCAGCGATGACAAACCCATGATTTAGTGCTCATGTTATGACAATCTTATGTAGACACCGAATGGCTATATCGAAAATGTAAACAAATTGATGTAGGATAACGCACGTTTTAAAGAAAAAGGGAAGAAATACAGGTTTTCTTCAAAACCTGAAAAAGTTCTATCGCGATTCATGAGGTAGATTGAGAGCATGCTTATTCCCCTGAGTATTGTGTACTGATAGTGTTTCACTTGGAGAAACTAGGATTTGTTTGTTATTAATTATTTCTCAACACTTGACAGGGATACTGCTGACAGCGAATGAAGACACATTTTCTGAATCTCTCGGGGGCGGAATATCCAGTTTCTCTTGAGTGATTTGTAGAATCATCTGATCGAAACTAGTGTAAAATCATCAATCTAGTTTATCCGATGTGTAAGCATGCGGTTTATCGATGTTATTATGGATGTATATATGCAGATTATGCAATCTGTTTCTTTGTTGAACTCAAATCTTTACATGTAATTGGTAACGTAATGCGTTTCTTGAATCAGATTCCCCTCCGCACCCACCCCTTTCCACTCTCTTCTCCCATCAGCCTAAATTCTCAATCATCCTATGACGACACTTGCTTGAACTCGTTGTCATCCTTTACACGCATTAGAAACCATAAAAACTGGTGGAAGGGTTCGATTGAAGAGCGTAATTTTCGGAACTAATCATTTCTAGGTTTTTGTTCATGAGTTTGAGCCTTATTGTTGGATAAAATTGAATCGAAATGAAGATCACGGAACTTAAATTTCTTGAAAGATAAGTAATTTCCCGCACTCTCTTTCAACTTTGGTTTCTTTAATTTTGTGACTTCCTTTTGAAATCGTAGCACAAAGGTTGTAAACTACAGACATTCACGACAAAACTCCTTTGATTTTATAAAATTTGAGTGATGATCGATGGACCAATTTGGTTTTAGTTGTTAATTTTTCAATTTTATTATAATTTAACAGACCAAAAATTGAAAATTTGGATTTATATATATTATCTAAATACAACCACATTTATCCTAATCAACCACTAAATTGTAACAAAGCGAGAAGAACAAAAAAAATACTTCCCAATTATTACGACTAGCTAAGAGATGCATCTCATGGAGTACGTCGACACAGGCGAATCAACCGCGGGCGCATCGTACACCCTCGGATGATCGCTCTCCAATCCGTAGTCCATCATCGGACGGTGCTCCAAGTCCTCATCATGATCGTACACGAAATCAGGCACCTCAATCTCGCTCCTCCTCACGTGCTCCCACAAATAATCGAGCCTGCTCACGTACCTCAGCTTTCCGTATACCCTGCGCCTCACCACAAGCGCACGTTAGTACAAATGACGGGAAATTGCGCCTTTTGCGTTCAAGTAAATCAATCAATTATTTACCCGTCGGTGAAAAAGAAGCGGCCGAAGGTGGCGAGAAAGAGGCGGGCCTGGAGGCCGGGGTGGAGGAAATACACGGCTTCGAGATTCCTGCGGACGGCGATCGGGATGGCGTCGTAGATTGATCGGACGGCTGAGATTCCGGGGAAGTTCTCGCACCTTTGAGCTCCGGTGTGCACGTACAGCACAGCGAACGGCTTTTTCTCGATCTCTGGGAATATTCTCTCCTCCAAATACTTCCGCAGAGCATCAACGCTCACAATTCGAGCTAAATAATACAAAATAAAAAATAAAAATCAGATAATCAGAAAACTAAAATAAATTAAGGATAAATTGTTGATCACAAAGAATGATTAAGAATCTGTTTGGGAATAATCTTTTGAAATGCTGAAAGCGCTTTGAAATTGACAGAAAACGTTATAGGTCACAAAAGCACTTTCTGGAGAAGCACGGGCTTCTTCAAAAAGCACTTCCAGTATCGCTTGAACTTTTGATAAACAAAAAAAAAAAAGTCAAAAGGTATTTTTAATAAAATCATTCCTAGCACAAGCGCTCTGAAAGAGAAGTGCTTTCTACAAAAAGCAATCTAAGAAGATCCCTAAAATACCTGGAAAGAATTTGCCGATGATGCGAAGGACGGTGCGGCCGCGTTTGTCACGTCCCCTGATCCTGAAGATGTCGAGCTTCTCGATGAGTTCCTGCTGCTCGGAATCGGAGATTGGAGTATGCATTTCTTTCTGTTTAGTATTACTTTCTTGTTGCCTGTTTGGATGGCGAGAAAGTGAGGGGAATTGTGACAGAATTTTGAAGCGGGAAGGGAGGATGAGGGGGTCAATGGCGTTGGATGAGAGAGAATTATGTAGCCGACGACAAGCGGTATTATTTCGTGACTGGCTCAGGAATTAAGGGGGCGAATGGAATATTCGGACGGATCTTCCGTTATTGGAGGTATCTGGGTGTCTGATTGCTGAGTTGGCGTTCTGTTGATTAAATTAGGGTTTGGATAGAATGGACGGGCAGTTTTAGTGGAGGGTGGGTCCAAAGGTAGAAGGAGGGGAGGAGAAAAAGTCTTTCAAGGGTTGAACTAGTAAGAGTGTTTATGGCATGGGCATGTGGTCAAGCCTTAATCTACTTGGCTAATTAAAGAAAAAAAATGCTAATTTGGTATTTGGGATTGTGGTATGGCATGCGTGGAGGTTGATTTTAATGGTTGATGCATATGAGGCTCGTGATCATTAATAATTAGATAAAATAAAAATTAATTTGGTGCTACGCGATGTTAATGCCGGATATTTTTAAGCTCATCCGAAGGTGCCAGCCTGGAAAGAAACCACAAAGAGCCCAAGGCAAAGTCAAAGACCATGGGAGACCAAGAAGCCCAAGGTCCAAAGGGCTTGGAAAGGAACACGTCCAAGTGCTGAAGGGCTTGTCGAACACCCTCCAACCGACCAGGGTATACGAAAGGTTTGTCAACCATTGAGAGCACATGGGCAGACTAACAATTTTATGACACAAATCTCTAAGGGAAGGTCTACTCAGACATCAAACAAGCCATTTAGCTACCCAAATTAAACAGCAGGGACCTAGGATTGAAACGAAAAGTGAGTCGGAATGCGCTCAGAGAGGTTGAGTTCGACAATCGAGGCAGATCGAAGGCTTAGTCCACTTTACAATGTGAATGCGTGTTATCTTAACTGGACACCCATCAATTCGCTATCAAATGTCTGGATGGCAGATGACAAGATGTTAGTAAGTTAGTCTATGTAGTCAGCGGATTGAATGCCAAGTAGGAAGGACCCAAGCTGAAGGGTTCATTGAGGGCCTATATAAAGGGGTAAAAACCTCCAATAAGGGGTGAGACCAAAAAGGAGGGAGAGATTTGATGTATTAGTTGAGTGTTGTTTTCCAGTCTTGCAGTTAATAGAATTTGTGCAATACAGTGGATGTAACCCAATTTTTAGAGGTGAACTACTTACATTTATGTGTCAATTTGATTACAGTCCACATCCCGATCCCACCAAGGCTTTAGTATGTAGTTTGTTAACCTGCAAATTTTGAGTGTTAACACACGAATAAAACACGTGTTGATGCATGTGAGACCTTTCAACATTAATAATCATGATGAAAGAATGCTTAATTGGCAATTTGAGTAGCATTAACATCAATATGACAAGCAACAGACTAGTCGTTGGTGTTTCTAACAGTCAAGATCAATTTACACGTGTAAAAGTGACCATAACATTTGTTTAGTAACATTTTTTTTTTAATTTTTTTTACAGAGGTTTGGTAGTTTCCGAAGCATACATGATCTCTTCCAATGGGATTTCTCTCCTTATATTCGCCTCGTTGACTAATAAGACTTAAAAGTTAACTTATCATTTTGAAAAGGAGTAGGATTCTCACACCTCTTATTTCTTTCTCCTTCCATCCCCTCTTATTTAAACAGTTACGATTAAGCCACGTCAACATCTTATATTAGAATTTTTTTTATTTTTATTTTTATTTTTGGTAGAAAGGTAAGGAGAAAAGGGAAACAGAAAACAGATATTAATTTCATCTACATAAATAGCCAAGTTGGCAACATCTTTAGACTCAACACAATAGACTACACAGTGAAAGAATGATCTATTCATATCAATGACCATTGAATTCCCATTACGGTGAATTCCTTAAACATAAAGTAACGAAAGTGAAGAAAATAGAATATAAAGGAAACCACAGCTACCTTGATGCTGTGAGCATCAAACCTACCATACATTACTTATGATTTACTCTTTACTGTTATGAAAATCATTGTAACACTTAAGTTTATCCGTCTCCAATGTTTCCTACCACTCTGACTGCCATTCTTATTAACATATATTTCTATTTCCTCCTCTATCAAATTAGTTAGACAGGCAGCCTCATAATACAAGAAGATTAAGCTTCAAAGCAGAAAACGAGTTCCGTTAATCACCCATGAAACTAACACATCCATGAAACCGAAAAGCTGAAAAAAAAAAAATATGAGTTAGGTTAATCACCTTGAGGGCACAGGTGGAAGAGCACTATATGACCTGTTGAGAGTCACAACCACCAAGCTAAGCTATACAAAACAGCAAACCCACTTCCTTCTGTACTTTTTCCAACCCAAAATCCTAAATTTCAATAAACCCAAATACTAAATCACTGCCATTAACATCAAACCAAAGAGAACAGAAAAGAACAATATCCAAACGCTCACCTTTAAAGTAATGAAAAACAAGGTGAAAGAGAGCAAAGCGGATAACAAGCAATACGAGCAAGAAGCTCCTGAAAACTTTGTGCCAAGAATGTAGAAAAAACAAGCGCTAGCCGCTGCCATGGAAGTTGAAGTCCCAAGCAATACTAAGCGAGCATTAGATTCATCAATTCCAAAAGGCAACTTCTTTGCAGTCAAAAGCTGCACACCCAGAGTAGCAACTAACCCATAAGCAACTATTCCGATAAGCGGAAGAGGAACACCTGGGAAAGCCAAAAGGGATTTTTATCAAACACCTTGCGTGCAATGCAATTCATTTCCAATCCACAAAAAGCCAATCGAAATTTTCACTTTTTCTTGTTTTGGGTGATCAAAAATTTGAATTGGTTTCAGATATGGAGTTAAAGGGAGTACCAAAAACGACAGCTGCTGAGGATGTCGCCGCAGCTGCCGCTGCCGCCGCCGCCGCTGCCGCCGCCGCCGCCGGTGAGGCATAATGCATTGGAATTTGTGAGCTTGAGATAAGTCAAGTACGTCGTCTCGAGAAACCCAACGCCTCCGAGCCCTGCGTAGAGTTTGTAGGTCAAGTCACTCGAAGAAGACGGAGTCAACGACGCCGTTTCGGATTCCGAGTCGTCGGCGTTTTGATTTGGTTCTGTAGACGAGCATGTTATGGGAAGAAGCAGAGATCTCTGACCACAATTCAGAGATTTATGGAGGAGCAGGAATCTTCCGTGGGTCGACGGAGACCGGCGCAACGACGAGAGCGGCGGAGATGTTAGGCTCGCGAACGTCAAAGTCGCCATTTCTGCTCTCACATTCCACCTGAAAAATCAACAGAGATTCGCGGTGACTAATCTGGGCTGGCTGGGCCCAAGTAACTTCTCTATGGTCCAACCCAAATTTCCCAACGGTCTATTTTGGCGGGTGATGAAACGGTTTGGGGTTTACTGTTTATATTTGTGGGAAGCCTATAATCCCAAATTTTTTTTTTATTTAAAAAATAGAGATTAGTTGTTGAATCCACATCACATCAAACTTTAATGATTCGAACAATCTGTTTTTCAAAATCATGTTATTTTCATCACAGAAGAAGATTTCTCGAGATAATAAGCAACAGAGGTACGAAATCACTATTTGTATGTTTGTCTATCTCTATCTCTCACTAATTGACCTAATTACGTGACGAGAGAATAGAGAATAAACACAGCATTGGCTATCCAAGAATCTCCCCACCACAGAATGTACACTTTAAAAATGTTTTTTGTTAGACAATCAAAACATGTGAACTATCTAGTTAGGCAAAAGAAACTGTTAAATAAATACTTCTATTTAACTATGATCATCATATTGAATAAATCCAATAAAAAGGACGGAGATAATTAAATAAAAGTGTATGTGATTATCATGTTTCTAACAATATTGAAATTTGTACGTAAAGTGTTATGGAGTCATGAAAAGTATAATTGCCACATTGTTAATAAGTTCGTCTATCAACCATCTCTTAGTTTTATAATATCTCTCTTTCCAAAATTACAAAAAGTCATAGATGTGTATTCTTAGATGTTTATACAAAATTTAAATAGTCAATCAATTTAAAACTTTTATAATACACCGGATTATAGTGGATGTCTGAAATTACGTACTTGAATTTCGAAAGTCAAAATTTAGTCTTTAAAATGCCAGTGCACAAAATTTGCAAATTAAGAGCAGCTACTAGACTGGGCTTTAGGGAAGCCCTACATCCCCATCAGGCTCGAATTGCCTAACCTAGTGCCTAGATGGTATGACATCAAGGTGACATCAATCATGATTAATAATACAAAAAATATAAAAAAAATCTAATTCCTTTTTCTATAAATACCTAGCCATTTTAATACCAATAGTTTGGGTTATTCAGTTTAGGGGTGAAGATGTACTTGAGCAATTAGTGTTCATTTTAGGGAAACTTTTAGGGACGGAGTTGCCTACTTTTAGGGGTAGAGTTGCTATATATGATATGTCACTGATAAGAAATAAACATGTTAATCAACACTTAAATGATAATTCAATCATCAACTTCCATATCACTTAGTTGAAAAAGCTTGGTTTACAAATTTAATCTCCTTAACATTAATCGGGAATAATCTCAAGGGTAATGCTAGGATGACCAAAATTATAAACGAAATGATATGTCACTAATAAAAAATAAGCACGTTAATCAACACTTAAGTAATAATCTAATCATCAACAATCACATCATTTGATTTAATAATTTTAATCCCCTTAGTATTATCCACGTAACTCCCAAAACACTAAAGAATCTTGTCAGCAGTCTCATCCACCAGGTGTACATACATGTAAAGGGCAAAGGTTGAAACTTATCCATGCAAAAGTATGTGTGCCTCATTTTTAGGTCTATCTGAATACCAAAACAACAGCAAGACTTAAATAATTAGAAATATGATGGCGATTTCTCTGACAGCACACCCCCATTGATCCTCCCTCACAACCATTTTCCAATATTTCTCTGATAAAACAGCAAACCCTCGCACGCTGCATTGCAATCTGCAGATCTCAGATACCACTAAATAATTAGAAATATGATGGCGGTTTCGTCTGTGTCATCCTCCTCTTACTTTACTAGCTCTGCTGCAATTCAACATCCTTCACTTCTTTCTCACAAAAATCTCATCCACAAATCTTCGTTTTCTCTAAACGGGAAGAGACTTGGCACTGGACTCCAAAACAACAACTTCAACTTCTGGTAAGTAGAAGGAAAAAAAAAAAACCCAACAAAACTAGAAAAATAAAATTATTTTTAATAATGTAAGTATAATATTGTTAGGTAACAAATTTCAGACTTGTGCTTTCTCGCACCCCTCGTCCTTTGTTTATGTCTCTTGATTCTTCTTTGATTATTCGATCCAAATGCGAGAAAAAAATGGATGACGCGAGTGCATGGGGAGAAAAAGGGGAGTAGGAAAATCATTACTTCCAGATTGTTGTTGTGGTTTTTCACTAACTGGATCTTATTTGGTAACTGGGAAAGTGTGAAAGCTTATCAGAAAAGGAATTTGGAGGCTGTTGGAGTTCCAACTTCCGTGCCAGTTCGTGTGGCTCACGAGCTTCTTCAAGCTGGACACAAATATTTGGATGTCAGGTAACTTCTCTGTTTTCTTTTTAAGCCTATTTAATTTTTTTGTATTAAGTTAAGCACTCTGTTAATCTTTGATTAACATTTTGTTTAACTGTTCTTGTTTTTGAGTAAATTTTTTTTTTTTTTTAATTTGTTTGTGTAGGACTCCTGAGGAGTTTAGTGCAGGGCATGCACCTGGGGCTGTTAACATCCCTTACTTGTACAAAGTTGGCTCAGGTTCAGTTTTTTCTCCATTCCCGACCCCTTTTTCCTCCACTATTTTGTTAAATGATTTTTCAGAATTATGATCACCAAAAAGAGTGGCTCAAGAACCACATTTTATTAAACAACTGCAGAAAAATTAATTAGCATTGTTTTTTCTTGCCCTAGTTGAGTAACATTGAAAATTTGCAATCTTCGTTGCAACAAAAAAAAAAAAAAAAAAATCTGAATTGTGCTTTGGAATCCTTTAGACCGTCGTTTATGACTGTTGCATCCAATACATTCACATCTAGCCGTAATTTTAACAACGTATTTAGTAGAAAAATTCACAGTTTTTGTGTCTTTTTATTACTGTTTGAAATTGAACCATAGGGTTCATCCCTCATATTTAGGCAAAAAATTTGGTCCTACTAGAAATTGTAGTGAGATTATGGTGAGAAAAGTTTATTTTTATTTTTCGAACTAGAACGATCAGGGAATTCGAATAAAGATGTTGTTTGACACGGTTTGGCATGTTTTGTGTTATAATGGTATAGTAAAACATTTTGGCAATGTTGTTGTTCTATGCAGGGATATCAAGGAACCCAGAATTTCTAAAAGAAGTGTCATCACATTTCAGAAAACATGATGAGATTATAGTTGTGAGTCCAATTACTCAAAATGTTTTACTCCTAATTTCATCTTCTTTTTTCTTTCAGTAGTTTTTTGTAAATTTCTGTCGCGGTTAAGCGTTTATCTTATGCCTTTCCACAGGGATGCCAGCTTGGGAAAAGGTCGATGATGGCTGCAACTGATCTTGTAGCTGCTGTAAGCACATTACCCTTACTTACCTTTCAATGCTTTTTTACTTAATCTCTAAGTAAGTGGTTGATGAAGACGAAAAATATGCATCGCATTTTGGTTGAACGTCATTGTCAAATAGGTTGCACAACTTGTATGGCGGATTAAAATTCCGAAAAGAATTTATCCAAAGCCAGAATGTGTGTTTTAGACATGTTTTGTTTCAGTAATCGGTACTTAACGTTAGTGAGAAACACTTCGAGGATCCAATTGTGGAAGGAGAAAGAAAAACCCTTACCTATCAATTGTTAACGTCGGTGAAATAATAGTCTAGTGAAATAACAGCTCGATCCAATTGTTAATGTTGGTGAAAAAATAGCTCAAGAATCAAGTTAGAAGACAAAAACTCTCAACTATCAATTAAACTAATAATCGGTGCAATCTTTGTTCGGGCAACCAGGTCCTTTTCCTTATTCAAAACGGTGCTTTAAGTGTTTTTGGCTACGAAGGGGAGTTACAAGGGACTTATCTGCGAAGAGTCCCCTGGAATTGGTATCCTTGCAATCAAAGAATTGATAAAAACTGACCAGAGCTTTGTTCCTTGATCTTCTTTTTGCAGGGTTTCACTGGCATTACAGATATAGCTGGTGGGTATGCTGTTTGGACACAGACTGGACTTCCAACAGAGATATGAAATCTGATTGTTTCTTGCCAGAGGGAGGGAGGGAGGGAGGGAGAGAGAGGGGGGGGGGGGTGTACATTGGAAGCAAAGGATATGGTGCAGGAAAAATAAAAACACAGATAAAGTGGCAGTAGAGCCCTGCCGAAGCATAGAAACTTGGTTCCAAAGAATATTATTGTAAAAATGTGGCAACAGAAAAAATCATGTAAAAGCAAAATTAGTAAATAAATTAAGCTCTCACAACCACAAAGTTGGCATCCAATATTATAGTCGCTTACTAATCGACGCTCTATTAAACTGAAACTATTTTAGTTCGTGACTTTTAAAAGCGTTGTTTACTATAATTTATATTTAAATTATTCTAATTCTTGACTTTTAGTTTTACTTATATATATTGTATATGAAATAAAAAAAGATATATTCATGTCACGTTAAAATCAATACTCTTAACAAAAAAAACAAAATAAAAAACAAAAATTGTTTGTAGTTCATCTGAATTCTCATCATTTTTATCCTTCATCATTTATGATTTCTCCCGTTTCGTTTTAAGTAAACATGTCATAAAACTCGAACCAATCTCGAAGCTCGAAAAACCGACATGTCGTTTCCTAATTGAAAAAAGTGGAGGTTGTATTTTATTAGTTTTCGACCTTTTATTTATGTGTATGAGACTCTGGGTTAGTTGGTTGAGACTTCAGTGTGGAATTCATCCCACCACGTTCTCCGTCTCAGACAAGCAGAAACCATCTCTCTCTCAACATGGTGGCCACATCTCCTTCCTTCACGTCACCGTTTCAATTTGCTTTTAAGTGGAAAATGCCCCAACAAAACTCTCACACTTGTTAGATATCACTACACAAAGCTATACAAGAACATGGGAACTACTCGCAAGTGGTTCAGAACAATCCGAAGAAAGTTAGTCGGATCATCCAACAGAGATATCGTCGTCGTCTACACCAACACTACCCCGAGCACTCACGATGAATCAGCCCCCCGGTACAAAAAATTCGACGGCATTGCTTCGTCATCATCGTCATTCATTGATTCGTCACCTTCGGCATTCGAAAGGAGAATTTTCACCGAGGAAGACATTGCAGCCATCAGACTCCAAGCCTTTTTCAGGGGACACCTGGTACATTACCCCAACTTGTTCCTTTTTTTTTTTTTTATACGCCAAGTTTTGCTTTGGTGGATGATAATTGTGATGATTTGAACAATTTGACAGGCCAGGCAAGCGTTTCGAGCACTGAGGAGCCTGGTGAAGCTGCAGGCGTTGGTTCGTGGGGTGTGCGTGCGGAAACAGGCACGTATAGCTCTGTATTGCATGCACTCGATGGTCCGGTTGCAGGTCAAGGTTCGTGCACGGCAGCTCCTCAGCGGGTCTACTGACGGCAGATCCATCGCAGGTTAAACAGTGTTTGCTGAACAAGTCTAGTGATGTATGATTTTAAGAATTTGTAACAACGATTTGGTAAGTCAAAGAATTTCCTAGTAAATGGATGTGTAATTTTAAGTTCAAACTCTCCGGCTAACAGGAAAGATAATTCGCCCGGAAAGTTCCTGCAGTTCAATGTCAACAAATAATATTCTCAATGTCAAACAAAAAATATAATACCATACCATAAGGTAGTTAACATTATCTGTCAATGACGGGCTCATTAATATTTACTGTTAACCAGCCGGCCGGACTGAATTAGTAGATGAAAATTCGAGTCTCTGAAGATAAGACCACCAGAAAAACACAAACAAACTACAAAAGAACAACTGTGTGATTGGAAAAATCTGTACAATGCAAAAAGTATGTGCAATGAAAATGGTCATGTGCAAGATCAGATTTCTCTCATCAACTGTTCTCAGTGATTGCCCCATCTAAGTGCTGAGAAAAAACCACCAGATCTGCATCGATCTTCTCCCTCATTTCCAACCTGTGTTGAGATTATAGGATTTAATCATTTGAATATGTTTAACGGCCCAGAAGCTTTATGGTTGGGCAAGAAAGTACCTCTTTGGCCAAATTCTGCAGGATTTGTACAATATCGGAGAAGGGGGGCCTTTGAGTCGGGTCTTGTTGCCAGCATCTCTCAAGCAGTTCGGTGAATCTTGGGTGAGTGGTCTTGGGAATTGTAGGTCGTAGGCTCTGAATGCCGTGCCAAATAAAAGTTAATTCATAAGAATATCATGTGGTAGAGTTATGCCAAATTAGAAATTGGGTAAGTACCTTTTGCACCACACCTACTGCTGCTTGTAACGGTGTCAAGGATGAGTAGGGGAGCTGGTAAATACACCATAAAGATGACCGTGAGTTTTGAAATTAATGCCGTCATCAACTGACGCACTGAATAGCAAAGGCAGAAGCAAGCATTGTAACACAAACTTCTTGCAAAGAAAAGTAAGCACTTACTTGTCCAGTTAGAAGCTCCCACAGAACTATTCCAAAACTGAAAACATCTGCTTTGTGATCATATGGTTTGTGTTCGATGACCTTCACAAGACCATGGTGAAAAGAAGTTGAGAGATAGGTTACGTTAAATGAAGTCAGCACAAACTACCAACCAACTTAATTACTGTTGAACCCGACGATCGCAGGCCAAAAAAGCCCCATGATAGCTCTAACTCCGGGGTAAAAGTTTAGTGGGATTGAGTTGAACCCCATGAATAATTAAACTATGAATTGTATCACTTTAAACAAAGTAGGATTTAAAGTAGATGTCCAAGGAGATTACTACCTCAGGAGCCATCCAGCGGTATGTACCAGTTTCAGCTGTCATCACTCCAGATTGAATCTGCACTCTGGCAACCCCAAAATCAGCAACCTTAACGACCTGCACAGGAAGGATATACGATTCTAAACATTAAAAATCCGCAAACATGTTAAAAAAGAACAGTTAATTGAGACACAAAATTTTGTTTGAATTTTTATCTATATAAATGCAAAGGGAAAACATGTGTGGCTGACAAATGAATTGTTGATTGAATAGTCATGAATTCCACATACTTCGTGTTCATCCATAAGAAGATTGGCAGTCTTAAGATCCCTGTGGATTATATTATTTTGGTGCAAATAGTTCATTCCCTTGGAAACGTCAATTGCTACTTTGAGTAGAAACGGAAGCTTAAACACACCCTTGTGCTTATGCAGAAAATCGTACACACTTCCTTTGGACATAAACTCTGATAAGCAGGAACATGAGCATCAAAAGGTGGTCATCAGTGAATTCAAAATGCACTATATTTCTTAAAATAAAAATTCATAACTGTTGACAATCAATGTCACTGTTTTCTTCTAGTTGTAACCAATTAGACATGGTATAACAAAGATGAAAGTATGGCAGCCATCCATAGCAATCATGACTACTCAAGAAATAAGATAGATGCGCCCATGAGAATCATTAATATATATATATATATATATAGACACATTCTAAGAGATACCTGTCACAATGCATAGGTTTGGAGGTCGTGTACATGCACCTATAAACTGCACAACATTCTTGTGCCGAATCTTCCTGCCAAATCTCATGATATCAAGAAGTTTAGAAAGCTGCACAGAAAATGACAACTGCCATCAACAAGTATAAGCAGGTATATGGGTGAACCTCAATATATAAACTTCCTGTGAAAAATCCCTCAGCATCTCTGCATTGACACGCTCAGGTTTGAGAACTTTTATGGCAACTTCCTGAGTACAATATGTCCCTCTGTACCTGAAAGAAGTTGGAAACAGCATATCAAATGAGAACCTGCATAAAATCCAACACAGATTCAAAATGTAACTTACAGATCACCGAAAGACCCAGATCCAACTTTGTTCTCAAATTTCAGCTGCCTTGTATCAATCTCCCAGACATCTGTTCCATCAGTTGGTATTTCTATGCTACTGGGGAAGGACTCATTCCTTGTTTGATTGTCCTCACCAATAGCCGCGATTGGATGTTGTTTTGACCAAGATTGATCCTAAAATACGAAATCACAGTAAATTGTATGATCAGATGGGAGCAATGAACCCAAATTTTCTGCATGATGGTATGTGGTATCCGGTTTTCATGAGACAAAAACAAAGATTCACCAGATTTTAAGAAACCAGCACAAGTATTCCCGTACCACACTAGTCTGAGTCTATTCAAAGAATGAGACATTTTAAATTTTGTTCTACAAGATACAGCCATAAAATTAAGCAAGTCAAGGAGAAAACTTACCTTAAATTTTGAAATTTCCTTTTCTAGCACACTTTTGAGCTCCTCGGTTACCTAAGTTTTACATGCAAGAACATTTTGTTCAAAGAACAAGAAGCATGTGAATCAAATATCCATAAAGAAACATACAAACTTGTACCTCATATTTCCACCCATCAACCACAAAAACATCAAGAGAAAATCCATCAACAGTGGAGAAAGCATGAGCTTCTTGAATATTCAGTCCAATATCAGCAAGTAATGAAGTTAACTGGAAAATTAATCACTAATATGTATCATTTAGTAAGTGAGTAGGCCAAAAACTGACAGAAAGATAACATAAAATTTGCCATAGAACTATTGAATCTTAAGACAATACACAATTTAATGTTAACAACCTAGGAACTGCTCCACCAAGCATATCTCATGAAAAAAGATGAGCAACTCTTGAGCTACAGAGTTCCAAAATTTACTAGCTACAGGGTTAAAAATACAGAAATCAAGACTCGAGCCCCACTAGTCAGGTCATTCTATTACAGCATAATCTTCTAACAAAATAAAAAGCCTTTCCTACAAAAGTAAACAAAGATCGATACAAATTGTCTCTAGAAATAATCTCAGTTAAAGCACAAATTGCCAGTTGCAGACAATAGCAATTGATAAAACAATGTTAATTTTCAGAATCCATCCACCAGTAACCTATCACAGCGGAGACAGGATGAGTACAAAAACAAAGAATATGTTGCTGCTTAAGATATTCTTTAAAAGATGGAACAAGGTTGAGATAAATATTAAGTCAAGTTTCATCTAAAATGTGAAAGGTACAAAATGTGTAACAACAGCCACCTAATAGGATAAAAGGTTCTGTATCTAAACAGAGTTCTCATTGTATATCTAGTCCATCCAAAGGATCCAACTGTAATGCATTGGTTCCAAGTCAGTACGAAATAAATATATAAATTATAAAGGACATTCTGAAAGGAAAGTTCAAACATATCCATAGATATGAGCCTATGAACAGAATCAGATGTGCACAGCATTGAATAAAAGTTGGTAGAAATAAAAGGTCAATGGCATGCATGTGGATATATATACAGATGAGGACTACCTGACTAAGAAGTTTGGGCTTGTCAACTGTTGAAAACGTGATCTCATGCATAGGCCTACACAATTAACAACAATAATTAACAGCGACATTTACAAACAGCCAACGCAATAAATTACTACCAATATTGTGTCTGTATCCATGTTAAACAACATCAAACACTTTACTTTGTCATATAGAAGCATCTAAAGCGTAAGCCTAAAGTATGTAGCCCCAGACTTCACAAGTACAAAACACTATAAACTACGAAAAGTTGACAACCAGATGGAGAGAGAGAAAAACCTGGAACAAACTAAACTGTAAAAGAATTATGTAGCATAGAATATTTGTAACATAATGTTAACTAAAATTCCTATTGAGCGTCAAACATATTCCACGGCACATGGGAAATTTCTCAGATTTATCATGAAGTTAAGTCGAGAAACCTTCTCTCTTTCTGTCTCTATGTATTTTGATAATTTGAAACAGCAACAAAGTAGCAGACAACTTATCAAGCTAAACACCTCTACAAAATTAAGGGGAGAATCCATTTCTCCGTGGATGAGTAACTACTTAAGATTGGGTTCAATGTCATTTCTTACCGCGAAAAGACTGGTGTTGCACTCATAGCACTACCTCCATCTTCAACATGGTATCTATTGGCTTGAAGTGCAAGTGCGTCAAGAGTAGGAGATGAACCAAAGGTGGGAGGTGCATGAATCCTGTTGACAGACAATACTATGATTAGCACATATAAGTGTAAAGTACAAAATGCAGAGTGAGGTAATTGAATGAAAAACATGGATGAAGAATACAAGTAACTGATATAAAACTATACAATGTGACATACCCTTGTCTGTTAGAATAATTGAAAGAACTTTGTGCATCTTCTTTCATTGAAGAATCTGAATGGACAGAATCAACAGAATTTCCATTGAAGACAGGATAAACCTGCATAAAAAAACGATTTTCATGATTAGCAAGTAGTCATGCATCGTAACCTAAGGTAATTACATTGATTTTAATAGGTACTTCTAAGTCTTCAACTCAAGACTAGACAACTATACTTGGCAACAAAAGTTGGACGAACGGTTTCCACTAGAAAAGAATGCGGACCACAGTCAAACCATTATACATACACGGATAATGTAAGGATAAGGTCATGCATGAACCCACACACAAAGACGGATG